GAATGAAAAGTGACAGAATAAAAGGGAGAAATAGACAATTCTTGTTTTTGTGCTTTGTTTTTGTTTTTGTTTTTGAGATGTAGTCATCCAGGCTGGAATGCAGTGGCATGATCTCAGCTCACTGCAACTGGTTCAAGTGATTCTTATGCCTCACCTCCCAAATAGTTGAGATTACAGGTGTGCACCACCACACCTGGCTAATTTTTGTATTTTTAGTAGAGACAGGGTTTCACCATGTTGCCCAGGGTGGTCTTGAACTCCTGACCTCAGGTGATCCACCCTTGGCCTCCCAAAGTGCTGGGATTACAGGCGTGAGTCATTGTGCCTGACCAGAAATAGACAATTATATAATAATAGTTGGAAGCTTCAATACTCCACTTTCTATAATGAATAGAAGGTCAATAAGGAATAGAGAACTTGAACAGCACTATAAGCCCAGTAGACCTAATAACTAGACATATATAGAACTCTGCACTCAATAATAGCAGAATATACATTTTTCTCAAGTGCACGTGGAACAGTTTCTAAGATAGACCATATAAGACTTGTCACAAAATGAGTCTCAATAAATTTTTTAAATGTTGAAATTATGCAGGGTAGCTTCTCTAACCACAGTGGAATAAGGCTGGAAACCAATAACAGAAAGAAAATTAGAAAATTTACAAATACGTGGAAATTAAACAACGCATTCTTAAGCAACCAATGGTCAAAGAAGAAATCACAAGGGAAATTGTGAATACTTAGAGATAAATGAAAACAAAACACAACATACCAAAACATATGACAGGCAGCAAAAGCAGTTATCAAAGATAAATGTATAGCAATAAATGCCTACATTATAAAAGAATAGAGGACCCAGAAATAAGGCTGAACACTTAGAACTATCTGATCTTCTACAAATCTGACAAAAAGAAGCAATGGGGAAAGGACTGCCTATTCAATAAATGGTGCTGGGATAACTGGCTAGCCATAGGCAGAAAATTGAAACTGGACCCCTTCCTTAGACCATATACAAAAATTAACTCAAGACAGATTAAAGAATTAAATGTAAAACCCAAAACTATTAAAACCCTGGAAGATAACCTAGGCAATATTATTCTGGACATAGGAATGAGCAAAGATTTCATGACAAAGACACCAAAAGCAATCACAGCAAAGCAAAAATTGGCAAATGGGATCTAATTAAACTAAAGAGCTTCTGCACAGCAAAAGAAATTATCAACAGAGTGAACAGACACACTACAGAATGGGAGAAAATGTTTGCAAACTATGCATCTGACAAAGGTCTAACATCTAGTGTCTAAAAGGAACTTAAACAAATTTACAAGAAAAATCAACCCCATTAAAAAGTGGGCAAAGGACATGAACAGACACTTTTCAAAAGAAGACTTATATGCAGCAACAATCATATGAAAAAAAGCCCAACATCAGTGATCATTGGAGAAATGCAGATTAAAACCACAATGAAATACCATCTCACAGCAGTCAGAATGGCACTATTAAAAAGTCCAAAAAAATAACATGCTGGCGAGGTTGTGGAGAAAAAGGAATGCTTATGCACATTTAGTGGTAGTGTAAATTAGCTCAACCATTGTGGAACACAGTGTGGCAACTCCACAAAGACCTAAAAAGAGAAATTCCATTCAACCAGCAATCCCATTATTGGGTATATACCTAAAGGAATATAAATTGTTCTATCTTAAAAATACATGCACACATATGTTGATTGCAGCACTATTCACGACAGCAAAGACATGGAATCACCTTAAATGCCCATCAGTGGTAGACTGGATAAAGAAAATGTGGTACATATACACCATGGAATACTATTCAGCCATAAAAGAGAACAAGATCATATCTTTTGCAAGAATATGGATGGAGCCTGAGGCCATTTCCTCAGGAAACAAATGCAGAAACAGAAAACCAAATACCACATGTTCTCATTTATAAGTGGAAGCTAAATTATGAGAACACATGGACACATAGAGGGGCCTATAAGACACACTGGGCCTATTAGAAGATGGAGGCTGGGAGAAGGAAGAGCATCAGGAAAAATAACTAATGAGTACTACGCTTAATACCTGGGTGATAAGATAATCTGTACAACAAACCCCCATGACACAGGCTTACCTATATAACAAACCTGCACAAGTTTACCTATAAAACAAACCCTGAACTTAAATGTTTTAAAAAAGAGTAAAGATCTCAAATTGATAACCTAACTTTACAACTTAAGAAGCACATCTTCTTTAGAAAAAGGAAGAGCAAACTAAACCCAAAGGTAGAATAAATAAAATAATAAAGATTAGAGTAGAGACAAAATATATATATATAGTAAGACATTAGAATCAATGAAATCACAAGTTGGTTCTTTGGACATAGCCACAAAATTGTCAGATTTTAGCTAAACTGAGAAAGAAAAAAGAGAGAAGATACAAATAACTAAAATCAGAAGTGAAATTGGAGATATTACTACTGATCTTGCAGAAATAAAAAGAATGATAAGAGAACGCTATGAGCAATTATATGGCAGCAAATTAGATAACCTAGATAAATTAATAAATTCCTAGAAACACACAAATCACCAAAACTAATTCAAGAAGAAATAGAAAATCTGAACAGACCTATATAGCAAGTAAAGGTATTAAATCAGTAATTTAAAAATTTCCCAAAAAAGAAATATCTGTAACCAGATGGCTTTACTAGTGAATTCTACCAAACATATAAAGAGAATTAACACTGATTTTTCTCAAACACTTTCAAAAGGTAAAGAGGAGGGAATACTTCCTATGGATTCTGTGAGGCCAATAAATTACCATAATAGCAAAGTCAAAGATACCACAAGAAAAATTGCAAAACAGAGATAAAGACTATCTTCCTACCAAATCAAAAACTCCCAAAGATTTCCAGTATTCTTAATTTATCTGTGTAGATCCAGATTTCCTTCTGTGATAATTTTCCTTCTGCTTTTTCTTGTAGTGCAGGTATGTTGCTGACTAATTCCTTCAGCTTTTGTGTGTCTTAAAAGGTTGTTCTTTTGCCTAAATTTTTGAATGATATTTTTGCTGGGTATAGAATTATAGATTGCGAATTTTCTCTTTCAGTACTTTAAAAATGTTGCTGCGTTGTCTTCGCATTTGCATTATTGATGAGAAATGTCATACTTATCTTTGTTTCTCTGTACATAGTGTGTCTTTTTTCTTTGACTCTTTTGAAGATTTTCTCTTAGTTACTGGTTTCCAAGTAATTTGAGTGTGACGTGGTTTGGTGGAGTTTCCTTCATGATTCTCCTGCTTGGGGTTCATTCCCCATTTGTTCTCAAATTTGGATACATTTCAGCCGTTATTTCTTCAAATATGTTTTTTGTTCCTTCATTTTGTCCTCTTTTTTGGAGGCTCCAATTATAGATGTACTAGGCTGCTTGAAGTTGCCCCACAGTTTATTTACACTCTATTCTTTAATTTTTTTATTTTTTAAAATTATATTGTAGATAGTTTCCATTGATGTGTCTTTAAGTTTCCCAGTCTTTTCTTCTGCATATCTGATTTGGTTTTGGTTCCATCGAGTGTATTGTAGTTTTTATCCCTAGAAGTTCAATTTAGATCTTTTTCATATCATCTGTGTCTCTATTTTTGAACATGTGGAATACAGTTATAATAACTTTTTAAATCTCCCTGCCTGCTAATGCTAACATCTGTTTTAGAATTCTGGGTAAGTTTCAATTGCCTGTTTTTTCTCCTCATCATGGGTCATATTTTATGACTTCTCGGATGCCTACTATTTTGTATTAAATGTCAAATATGAATTTTGCCTTGCTGGATGCTGTTCGTACTGTAATATGTATTTTAAATTTACTTTTTAAATTTTTTACAGATTTGATTATATATCTGAATTTCCATTTTAAAATATTCACTGTTTGCATTTTCTTCATAATTCATTATTCCTTTCATTTCATGATTTTTACTAAAACTAATTTTCTTGTATGGGGCTGTTTTAAAAGTGTCTGTGTTGTGGGACAAATACACTAAACTTGCCATTTGTCAGTACACAAACAATTTTTGCAATTCGTATTCCAGATAAATTGCTAGTTTCTTTAATATATAAAGAGTTACTACAAAAAAACAAGAAAAAATCTATATCACTGAAAGATATGGTTAGGATGTAAAGAAGGAAGAAAAAATCTTTCTTAAAATTTGAGCATACTGAAGATGCTTAACTTCACTCATAGGAAAAATATGCAAGTAAAAGTGTGCTCTGGTAACATTTTTACATATCAAATTGGCAAAGATTAAAAAGTTTAATAATATATACTCTGTAGTCAAGAGTATGGAAACCAGATATTCTCATATATTTATGATGGGAATGCAATTTAAAACAACCTCTGTAGAGCAAAATTAGTCAATATCTTTCAGGATATTAAAAGTACTCATTCCTTTGATTCAGCAATATCACTTCCAGGGATGTATCTGGCAGATATACTTAGCATATGTAAGAAATGATGTGTATTATATAAGGAGATTAATCATAGCATTATTTATAATAGTAAAACATGAGAAACTAACTGCCCTTTGGGGGCTGATTATAGGGCCACTAGTTACAAATGCACTGATGTTGGGGTGCAGATTGGAGAGTAACATAGGCTCATGTATACATTTATGATCTCTGGAAAGACTCACAAAGAGCTGTTAAGTGGTTACCTCTGAAATGGGGCCTGAGTGGATTGAGAGGATAAGGAAAGGAAGGAAATGTAATTTTTACAGGCACATTTTTGAACCTCTTTGAACAATTCTCTATGTTTCCTATTCAAAAAAATCTATTAGCTATCTTACATTCATTATGAAAAAAACAAAAACAAACAAACAAAAAAAAAAACAAGACCAGAAAACTGGACAAGTGATTTTCTTTTTAATCTCTGAGACAAAAATAATAGAGTTGACCCCAAAACAATATTTCCATGTTTTTAGAGAGACTGAAAATTAGCACGCAAGAATCCATCCTACCTGACCACAGCATACAGTCATCTTCCCACAATTCCTAACAACATTCTGATTCTGGAAAAAAGATGAATATTTATCTTTAAAATAATAAAAACAACAAAAGACCTTATCAAATTTCTTATGTGAATTGGAACAATTCATTGTTAGGTATTACCAGAGAAACATTCTCTCCCTAACTACTTTTTAATCTGAATAGAATGGTTGCTGATTAAGGAGTTTGTGGGGTATCTGTGGCATCACTTTATGTCAAAAGCAGGGCTGCTCCCAGGTACAATGCAAAATGGGCAGCTCCAGGGAGAGAAAAAAGTGGAGGAAAAATTGCTAGTAAAGACCATAATCGGGATAAATAAGGCCATAGGGGACCTAAAACTCTTTCAATGGAAAGGTTTCTGATATGGTTGTTAACTCTTGGGATCCAAGTTGCTTATTCACTTCTGGAGGAAAGACAATAGTTACATTGTTGACTGTTTTTGAAAGTTTTCCAATTTTTTTCTCAGTGTTTTCCAGGGAAATCGTCATTGTACCAGTTGGTTAATGCCATAATAATAAAAGCACTACATAATCTCAGTGGTATACAACTTTATTAGGTATACAAGTCTGTAGGTCAGTGGGGAGTCAGCTGGCCTATACTGGGCTCAGCAGGGCTGGTTCTTCTTTTTATGCCTGTGCTAGTCTGGTCATGCTTTTCTCCTAGCTATTCAGAGAAACACAAGGACAAACCCAGTTGTACAAGTACTTTCCAAGTATCTTTCAAAGAACAGGGAAATACACCCTGTGCCCAGTAAACCATACAGTAAAGAACTAGGATGAAATAAGGATAGAACAAGGAGGGGGCTGTAGGCAACCTACCAAAATCATCATCATATTGACATTTATATAGGATCTTAAATGTTTATTTGAGTTTCCCATGTATTTTTCATATGATCCTCACAATATCTTTGTGTGAACATTATTTTTATTTTCCACATTTTATAGAAGAGGAACAGGATCAAAAGGATAAAGTCACTTATCTAAGATCACACAGCTAATTAGCAATAGAAGGGGAACATTCCAATAGTACCCAGAAAAAAGGGAAAGGGGTGGACTTTTCCTTGCTTTAATCATAATTGATCATCTTTTTTTCTTTGTTTATAGATTAAATATGGAAAAGACAAAAGAGGTCAATGAAGAAACTTGAGGATAAGGTATATAGCTATATACAGGGTTGATAAGGTCTAGAAAATGAGGTTGTTTTATTTCTTGTTTGTTTTCTAATGAACGACCATCTAAAATTGTTTCACTGGTCTCGTGCCTAGAGGAAAAAAAAGATAAAGTTTACATAAAAATAATTGCTATGTCACTGCAAATACCAAAGAAGTAATTTTTAGGCTGGATGTGGTGGCTCATACCTGTAATCCCAGCATTTTGGGAGGCTGAAGTCAGTGGATTGCTGGAGGTCAGGAGTTCGAGACCAGCCTGACCATTATTGTGAAACAGCATCTCTACTAAAAACACAAAAATTAACCGGGCATAGTAGCAGGCACTTGTAATCCCAGCTACACAGGAGGTTGAGGCAGAAGAATTGCTTGAACCCTGGAGACGCAAGTTGCAGTGAGCTGAGATTGTGTCACTGCACTCGCTCACAGAGCTAGACTTTGTTTTGTTTTGTTTAAAAAAGAATTTTTTAAAAGCCCATTGTATTAGTCCATTTTTATACTGCTATAAAGAACTGCCCAAGACTAGGTAATTTATAAAGGAAAGAGGTTTAATTGACTCACAGTTCAGCATGGCTGGGGAGGCCTCAGGAAACTTATAATCATGATGGAAGATGAAGAGGAAGCAAGGCACCTTCTCACAAAGTGGCAAGAAGAAGTATTGAGTGAAGGAGGAAGAGCCCCTTATGAAACCATCAGGTCTTGTAAGAACTCACTTGCTATTATGAGAACAGCATAGGTGAAACCGCCCCCATGATTTAATTACCTCCACTTGGTCTCTCCCTTGACACAGAATTATGGGGATTATAATTCAAGATGAGATATGGGTGGGGACACAAAGCCTAACCATATCACCCATATACACAGAGAAGCAACAGCAGCTAGAGGAGATGGAATCATGTTTTGTAGATGACCAGGCTGATAAATAATTGTTTAAAAAAATGTTGGCGGGGGGGTGGAAAGCAAAAAACGGTGGGTGGGGAGCAAAAATATAAATAAATAAATTTCTGAATATGTGCTCCTAATATATATGAATGTATTTGTGTATAACTAATAAGTGCTATACAAAGAAATGTACCTTAAAACAAAATTTTCAACACAAAAATAATATTTTAATAACAATTTTGACTACTACTATTTCATGGAATAATGCCATTAATCACACTTCATTATTTTTAAATTTTTTCACTTGATATTAATAGCATATTGACTGGGAAAGATGTCACGCGTGTCTATGTGAAGAGACCACCAAACAGGCTTTGTGTGAGCAATAAAGCTTTTTAATCACCTGGGTGCAGGTGGGCTGAGTCTGAAAACAGAGTCAGCAAAGGGTGGTAAGATTATCAGTAGTTCTTATAAGTTTGGAATAGGCAGTGGAGTTAGGAACAATTTGTGGGCAAGGGGTGGATCTCACAAAGTACATTCTCGAGGGTGGGGAGAATATTAAAAGTACTTTCTTAAGGGCGAGGGAATATCGCAAAGTACATTATCGCAAGGGTGGAGAGGGTGTATTGTCACAAGGTCAATTGATCAGTTAGGGTGGGGCAGGAACAGATCACAATGGTGGAATGTCATCTTTTGTGGTTCTTCAGTTGCTTCAGGCCATCTGGATGTATACGTGCAGGTCACAGGGGATATGATGGCTTAGCTTGGGCTCAGAGGCCTGATGAAAGATATTTGAGAAAGAGCAACATGCACAGTGAATACATAGTGGGGGTTCATCGTTAATGTATTAGATGTAAGTCTGTATTTCAAGTAATCTTTTTAGTACTGCTGATGGAGAGAAAGAGCTGACTTCTTGTCATATCTGATTAGCTTTTCAATGTTTTTCTTCTCATAATATGGCTAATGAACAGCTTCTACTGATGCCAGAAGTGTAGACTGACATTTTTTGGTTTTCACTGGTGTTGTATTTTGGCATTGTTTTTAATCTAGGATTCATCTATCAACAAGAATCTCTTTAAATCACTTATCAGTTTATGAGGATTAATTTAGCTAAAACTAGATCACATAAAGTTCCTTAATCAAGCTCATGTATATGATCCTCTATCTTAAAAGAAAAACTCTCCTTTAACCCCATACCTTCCTCCAGCTATCGCCCCATTTCTCTAAACTGTGCCCCTTCACATGTAAACTCTCAAAAATTTGCTATGCTTATTTCCCTCTTTCTATTCTCTCTTGAATGTAATTAGGCTTGCTTTTTCCCCATTCCACTAAAATTACATTTGTCAAAGTCACAATGGGGAAGTATTCAACACAGTTGTTCATCACTTCTTTTAATTTATATTTTATTTTTCCATAAGGTATTGGGGTACTGGTGGTATTTAGTTGCATGAGTAAGTTCTTTAGAAGTGATTTGTGAGATTTTGGTGCACCCATCACCTGAGCAGTATACACTACACCATATTTGTAGTCTTTTATCCCTTGCCCCGCTCCCACTCTACCCTCCAAGTCTCCAAAGTCCATTGTATTATTCTTACATCTTTGCATCCTCATAACTTAGCTTCCACATATCAATGAGAACATACAATGTTTGGTTTTCCATTCCTGAGTTACTTCACTTGGAAAAATAGTCTCCATTCTCATCCAGGTCACTGCAAATGCTGTTAATTCATTCGTCTTTATGGCTGAGTAGTGTTCCGTCATATATAGGCCACAGTTTCTTTATCCACTCATTGATTGGTGGGCATTTGGGTTGGTTCCATGATTTTGCAATAGTAAATTGTGCTGCCATAAACATGCATGTGCAGGTATCTTTTCAGAATAATAACTTATTTTCCTCTCGGTAGATACCCAGTAGTGGGATTGCTGAATCCAATGGTGGTTCTACTTTTAGTCCTTTGAGGAATCTCCACACTGTTTTCCATAGTGGCTATACTACTCTACATTCCCATCGGCAGTGTAGAAGTGTTCCCTGATCACCACATCCACACCAACATCTACTGTTTTTTGATTTATTATGGCCATTCTTGCAGGAGTAAGGTGGTATCACATTGTGGTTTTGATTTGCATTTCCCTGATCATTAGTGATGTTGAGCATTTTTTCATGTTTGTTGGCCATTTGTATATCTTCTTCTGAAAATTGTCTATTCATGTCCTTGGCCCATTTTTTGATGGGATTGTTTTTTCTTACTGATTTGTATGAGTTTGTTGTAGATTATGGATATTAGTCCTTTTTCAGATGTAAAGATTGTGAAGATTTTCTCACACCCTATGGGTTATCTGTTTACTCTGCTGACTGTTCCTTTTCCTGTGCAAACATTCTTTAGTTTAATTAAGTTCCAGCTATGTGTCTTTGTTTTTATTGCATTTGCTTTTGGGTTCTTGGTCATGAAATCCTTGCCTAAGCCTATGTCTAGAAAGGTTTTTCCAATGTTATCTTCTAGAATTTTTATACTTTCAGGTCTTAGGTTTAAGTTCTTAATCCATGTTGAGTTGATTTTTATGTAAGGTGAGAGATGAGAATCCACTTTCATTCTCCTGCATGTGGCTAGTCAATTATCCCAGTACCATTTGTTGAAAATGGTGTCCTTTCCCCACTTTATGTTTTTGCTTGCTTTGTCAAAGGTCAGTTGGCTGTAAGTATTTGGGTTATTTCCTGGTTCTTATTCTGTTCCATTGGTCTATATGCCTATTTTTATACCAGTACCACACTGTTTTGGTGACTATGGCCTTATAGTATAGTTTGAAATCAGGTAGTGTGATGCCTCCAGATTTGCTCTTTTTGCTTAGTCTTGCTTTGGTTATCTGGGCTCTTTTTTTGGTTCCATATGAATTTTAGAATTGTTTTTTTTCTAATTCTGTGAAGAATGATAGTGGTATTTTGGTATTTGGATTGCACTGAATTTGTAGATTGCTTTTGGCAGTATGGTCATTTTCACAATATCAGTTCTACACATCCATGAGCATGGGATGTGTTTCCATTTGTTTTTGTTGTCTATGATTTCCTTCAGC